AACATACTTTACTATTATATTTGCTATATTTTATGAAGCATACGTGTGTTTTACTACCTGTGTTTCTATCCAGGTATTTATATTCACCAAAGTCTGTGTTTCCAAGACCCTGTTATTGATTGTAATACAAATCTCAACAGTTTCTTGGTTAAAAGAATTTTAAATTGATGCTAATTTTAATTAATCTCTTGTGTCTTTCTAACATTAAAGGTAATTTTCCTATGATCAGTGATGACTTGGTCAATTCCTACCATCTCTTGTTATGTGCTTTGGATCTAGTATATGGAAATGCTCTCCAGTGCCCTAACCGTAAAGAACTTCTGAATCCTAATTTTAAAGGTATGTTGAAAAAACCTATCCAAAGCCTGCAAGATCTTCTAAGGCTACTGCAATTAGTATGAATCTATGTGGTAGAGAATAAATTGAATAATAGTGATTTGAAATATGTGAGAATTAATATTTTCTATATCTGGCTACACACTAGAGTTCTATTACTGTAGTATGTAATAACAGACTACTAAATTTTATCAATAATCTAGTAAGTCAAGAATTTAATTCACTATGGAAATACCATTAAAGGAAGTTCCAAAGCAAAAATTTCAGTTAATGACATTTTAATGTCAGTGAAAGAGCATATAATGACACAGTCATTATTGGACACAGACTGGAGAGTTCATGTGAGGCAGCAGTTTGGAAAGATCCAGTGCTCAAATCTGAGAGTGGCAACTTGATTGTTTCTCTCTCATTTCTGGACTGTTGCTGTTCTCTGTCTGAAGAGAGTGGAAATGTAGATTGCCTCGATAACCACAAATGCAAATGAATGACAAGAAGTTTCCATTATATTTCTGATGTAATTCTTTCCAGACTTCATTTTCAGTCCTGTACAGTATTCACATTTACTTTGTAGTAGTTTGGATGTGAGCTGGGATCATTATGGCAAATCTATTTGAATAAATTTTATAGTTCACAAGTGTTTGATTGGTTTTCTGTTAGAACTGATTTTTTAATTCTTACAACTAAATATCTAATTTTTTAAAATCTCTGGCTCAAAATTGAGTTTTTATAACATCAAATTGAGTGGGCATTGTATAATCAATAATTCTTTAAAGAGAACTAACTAATTTACCATTTTAATTTCATACTATCTAGACTACATGGCATAGAATTTACATTTAATAAGAAGACAGGATATGGATTTGCAAAATTAAATAATACAGTATTCTCAATTGTAGGTCTACCTGAAGACTTTCATAGTAAGGATTATAAAGTATCATCTGATCCTCCCTGCATCATTGAAAAACTGTGTTCATTACATTATGGATTAGTTTTAGAAGCAAAAGGCATAAAGGAGCATTTTTGGAAGCCATATATTCGGAAACTTTTTGACAAAAAGGTTGGTTAATAAATTTGTTATGTAGAAAAATTTCTCCTTACTCGTTATCTGCAAAACCTTCTTAGGAACTGAACTGTCTATCCTTTGTTCTTAACTTTGTTTTTAACTGTCTTACAGCTTTTAAAAGGAAAAGATGAAAATCTGACTGGATTTCTAGATCCTGGGAACTTTGGAGATAGCTTGTGAGTCACTGCATTTGTGGTTTGGTTTGCACTAGTGTCCCTTTGAATTGTCATACAATTGCACTTGTCTGATTATCTGTATCTTAACAGTATGGCTAGCTAGTCGACTTGTGTATTTATTAATGTTTATATATTAGATTGCGTTTCAGTTCCTTTTCTTTGAGATGGTGCGGTCTGAGGCATATTTGAAAGAGGCATGATTCTTTAGGATGGTGTTACTTGATGTCTACTTCTGTGTTTCTACGTTGCCTCTATTTTTTTTGTATATAAGTCAAAGTGTTAGTAAGGAAAAAGATGCGGGAGCGCATTGAATGAGTGGGAAGTGGGAGAGAAAAATCAGGTTTCTTTCTTTATAAACCTAGAGATGCTTATCAGTACAACTTACTTACTTTTAAATGGTATGAAAATGGTAAGCATAGTTTATGATTATGTGATACTGCAGAAGTTTTGAAAAGTTTCCAGCCAAATACAAGTTCTTAGTATTTTGTTACATTCCTCCTGCAGCTGTGCTAAATAGCGAGCCAGCAGATATAATGGAAAAATTATGTCCGTGCCACTGTCATGCTTTAAGATACTGTAGATTTTAGAGGAGCTCCAATGCTTAAGTCAGGGTTAAAAGAAGTTCTGAAGCAGATTTCCAAGAGGCCAGAACTGTGCTCATTCAGTAAGCAGGTGAACAAAGCACTGTCTAAACCAACAGGGTATTGTATCTGTCTTTTCCTTTCTGTTGTAGCAAAGCGATCAACAAGGCCTACGAGGAGTATGTTTTGTCAGTAGGAAATCTCGATGAGCGAATATTTCTTGGGGAGGATGCAGATGAAGAAATTGGAACTCTCACAAGGTGCTTAAATACAACTTCAGGAATGGAAACAGCTGAACGAGTCCAAGTGAAGCATAATTTGCAGCAGCACTTTGACAGGGTGAGTATGATGTGATCTGTGTTGCTCTTTTTATATAGGGAATGAGTTTAATTACTCCATGTCTGATGAAGAGAAGCAGCTACTGAAATAATACCATCTTTATTGTGTATCTGGGAGTGTACACAGCATAACTGAATTACATTTTGTAATTGTCTAGATATATTGTTTACTTTGGGGTTTTGGAATAGAATTTCTCCATCCATTTGGGTTTTCTTTCATTAAATTCAGTATAGAGAATATTTAGGTAATTCCCTAAAGAGGTATCATTAGGTAAATCTTTAGGTGAAGATTTTCAAGCGCAACAGAACGAGCAATTCTGCATGGCTGCTTGGCAGGTGCCAAATTGTCCTGCAACTGTTGGGGCCCTCTGGACCTGGCTCTCCAATTTCCCCTTCCCTCCCATCTCTGTCCTATATGCAGAGCTTTTTGTTTCATGTATACAAAGCTGCTCAGTGCTCTGCTCTATACATTCTTATGTTTTCTTTTAACAGATAGGTTTCAGGTGTTAATATTACATCTGTTTACAGTGCTAGTTAATTCACTAGGGAATGATTTTCACCTAGCTTGCCTAAAAGCGTGATACATAGATATGTCTTTATATATGACTAATAAAATAGCAAAGAATATGGTCTTTGAGATCATAAAGAACACCGCATCTTTCAGAACAGTGAAGTGAAGACCTATAAAACTGTCAGGGCCTTCGTGTGACTAGAGTAGCTTTTGAAGAATGGGCACTGGCTTTGAATGCAGACGTGTATACCTATGATTACAGAATATCAAAAAGTTCCTGAAGATGGAAAAGACAGCTTGACAGAGGAAGGATACAAGGCAGGCAAATGAAGAAGGATATAAGCTCTGTTAGTACAATTAGATTACAGAGAGCAGAATGGCAAAACATTCTAGATCACTGAAAACGTCATGTGAACTTTTTCCAGAGTGAGAGCTGGTTAATGGCTTTCAACATTCTTGAGAGGAAAGATCAAAATAACGTTATCTGCAAAATCAGCGCAAATAGTTACTTATTTGCTTCTGATCTCTTTAAAGAAATCATCAGCTATTTTGCTGGCAGAGTGCTGGGCACATAACTCTTGGAGGTTTCTGTAGTGATGTAACAGCGAGACTGTGAGACAGCAGCCTGCAGCTGCAGCTCTTGTGTGGTTGCACGCTCCGGGGAGTCCAGGGCAGGGCTGGGGGGACTATCTTTCCTGGTGGGATATGGAGACAGAATAAAAACACACTTAGGAGTCCGTGGGGAGAATGGGAGGAGTATCGGGAGCTAGACTTCACGGTAAAAAGACTGCAAAATGTAATGTGTTCCTTAAAATATGGAAAACATTTCCTGGTAAAGCAATTGTGGGGTTAGATAAGAAGAAGATACATTGGTTTTGCTGTAAACTAATTGAAGGAACAGCCTTGATGTTAAATTATTTTGATGGGATGGCTTGATCTGATGCAAATGAATTAAAATGCTAATTGTTAGATTCAGGAGGGCTTTTCACGTTAAGAGTTAAACCTGCTGCAAGGAAACCCTGGCTCAGTACACTCTTCCTATGAGCCACAGCTACCTTTGGTACACGAGGGGGAGGGGGGGACTGCTGGGGGGCTTGGTTGGGTTTTTTCAGATTGGCCTAGTTGTTTCACACTTCACTCCCAGGATCTGCATTTCAGTGTGAGCTCACATCCTCGCTGTTTATAGATTCATGCAGAACTGTTTGATACAAGCATCCAAGTGACACAGATAAACCTTTTGTTGCTGGCTATTATCTGAGACACGGACTAGTTGGGGCTCTTTGATTCCTAGCCATTTTTTCCAGACATATATCGTAGCACAGGGTAAGAATTGCACAGATTGACACTTCTAGGTTATGACTGTATCTAAGTTTTACAATAATGTACAGTTATATGCTTTTTGTCTTTTTAGTCCAAATCACTTAGGATTACAACTCCGCTTACTGGCCGCAAGTACATTAAAGAGAGCAACCCATATGTGACACCTGTTTCCATAGCAACATACAGTTTGAGCCGCCTTCATACGATGCTGGCAGGCCTGAAAAATGCCCCCAGTGAAAATCTGGAGCAAATACTCCGGTAAGTTTGATGTTTAGCTAACCAAGTAATTCTATTTTTTAAATACTTTTCATAACAAACTTTACTGCTCAACAGTGTAATTTAAAATGTGAGTCAGTCGTGAAAGGTTCTGGACTAAAATAGGACACAGAGAGACATTTAGATTTCAAAAGACTTTGTTCTCTTTATTTAGACATCTTTGTCCTTAAGAGACTGATGGCTGTAAGAACATACACCATTATAAACCCAACAGTTCAGAGATTGTCTAACAGCAAACTGCTACTACAAAATTCTCAAGACTTTTTTTCTTCCTACTTAGCAAATCTCACTACCTAGCAAATCACTCCGTGCTGTAGGAAATTCAAAATAAAATTTATTGTCCATGTAGATAAACTGTTGCCTCTTGTACAATATATCTTTAAAACAATTTTTATATCACATGGAAAATGCTGTTTATCCCTGATCGTGAAAAGATGTACATATTTCCTACAATGTATACAATAATAATAATATGCTGTGGACATTTTAGTGTACCTATAGAGTTAGGCACATCTGGGTGTGTTTGTATTACTATGCAATCTATTTAGTTTCTTGCTTTCATCATATTATAAAAGTAGTTGTTGATTTTTTTTCTTTTTTGTCTGAGTAGGAATGGTATGTTGAAAATGCTTAGTTTTTATTTTCAGGGCCTGTTCCAGAGATCCTTCTCAATCTATTGCAAACAGAGTAAAAGAAATGTATGAAGTATACTGCCAGAGCATGCAGTCCGAAGGAGAATTCAGTAATTTTTCCAAAGGTGGGAGACATTTTACTTATACAGATAAGAATTAAAATGCCTGTAGACACCTTATTTCTCTTGTAATTAACTAAGTTTTACTTACAGGTTATGCTTTAGCACAAGTGTCTTTTCTATTACTTTTGTCTTTTCCTGTGTTCTTAAGACATGGCAAATATCAACCCTGCATACAATTTTGTAGTCAGCCTTAGCTTAAGTCACTGGAATGTAACAATACTTGCAGTTCTGCATAAGTGAAACGAGAAGCACTGTTAAGGGTACTGCTTTTTCTCTCAAATGCAAGAATAAGAGCAATGGCATGGATTTCTGTGATAGTAATGAAAAATCTGATTAATTATCGTCTTTAAAAACCCTGCGGCAATTTTGGCTTACATACAAGGATGGATTAGTACAGGTATTAAAATCCTGCCAGTATAAACAAAGTATTATTTGCAAAATTGTCATGATACGTGAAGTGTGTGAAAATGGATTGAAAATAACGAAAGTGCTCTTGACTTCTTATTTCTTAATAGGGCTTACTTTGTTCTTGTCAGCATAGTAGCTGCAGTGTTCTCTGTTGCACAGTGCAAGTTGGATCCTTTTCAGTGTCTTTTCTGAACTTGAGTTATGTACATTATATTATAGTAATCTTAAGGATTGCTCTTATATAGGGTGTTTTCATCAAAATCTGGGTTCAGTAATAAGTTATTCCACTCAGCACTCACAAGTCAGCGCAGCGTAGGAGAGGGATTCCCAAGTTAGTTAACTTGAAATTAACTGATTTAGTCCTGAAAGTAGTGTAGCCACAGCAGCACAGAAATCCACACAAGCTAATAAATTGTTGAATATCTATAGTTTAAGATAAAGAATACAATTATTCTGTCATGTTTCACAATATTGTTTCTGTTTAAAATTCCCACAGATGTTGCTAGTAAGCATTTTCGTCGTGCTGAGGTGCTATACTACAAGGTCTTGGAGTCAGTCATTGAGCAAGAGAGGAAGAGGCTGGGAGACACTGACCTATCGGTAAGGAAAACGAATCAAAGTGTACCTCATTTTTTAAGTTGGACCTACAAAACAAGGAAAGCAGTTGCAAAACAGAATAGACAGCTATTCAAACTGAGGGTAAATCTCTGAAAAGTAGCCTGTAAGTACACCTGAATGGAAGGAAAGGTGTAAAGAAATCATTAGTGTGTGTTTGCAAATACAAAGCTATATGCAATGCTTAATGAGTGAAGATGGCTCATTTTGGATTCTGTTCTGTCTCTTACAAAATAACATCTCTTTTTATAAACTTGCTAATCTTGCTGTTGAGGCAGAATAGAAAGTGTTTTACTGTTCTATAGTTACACTGTAAATTAAATATTCAAATTTGCAACTCTCTTGCAGGCAATACTGGAGCAAGATGTGTTCCACAGATCACTGCTAGCGTGTTGCCTTGAGATAATTACCTTCACGTATAAGCCGCCTGGAAACTTCCCATTCATCACTGAAATATTTGACATTCCAGTTTATCATTTTTATAAGGTAAAGTGTTTGATAGCTAGAAATGCTTACCAAGTCACGAGCACTCTGTTGACTTCTATCAAGTAATTTCCTTACCTAGCATTGTCCTTACCTTGGCCATTAATCCTTCCTCTCACCTTTGCTCCTTTTTGTAGTGAAAAAATACTACCTGAGTGTCTGTCCTTCTGGTGTGGTCTTGGGCACTTAAAAAGCAACATATTGTTAGCAGGTTCACACAGGAGCGGTGTCCAAATATCTATATGGTAACTGACAGATTATCATTTTACCACAAGCTATTGTTGCAGCATAGCTACATGTTTGTTTAGAAAGATACAAATGGCTGTTTTCTGATAAAACTGCAAGACAACATATGATTGAGTCACAGTAATGCAGCCTTAACGTTTCTAATTGTCTGTCCTTCCTTGAAAATCAGGAATTTACCTTTCTGTAAGAAATATATGAAACAAGCACCTTATGTTGATCATAATTATCTGTCTTACAGGTAATTGAGGTTTTCATTAGAGCAGAGGATGGCCTTTGTCGGGAAGTAGTGAAACACCTGAATCATATTGAAGAACAGATCTTGGAAAGTATGGCATGGAAACAGGAATCTATATTGTGGGACAGAATCAGAGACAATGACAACAAAGTTCCTACTTGCGAAGAGGTGAGCGCTTCTTTGTATGTTCCACAGTTTTCCTGATCAGACAGGCTGGTAGAGACTGGACGTTACGCCCTGATGGAGAGAGAGGCTTTACACATCCAGATTTTAGTTTCACCCCATAAGTACACGAGTGCAAAGCACACAGTAGCTGCAGGGTGCTCTGGCTCCACAGAGGCATCCCCACCCAGTGTGGCATCGCACGAGAGTGAACAAAAGGACGAGCAGGGACGGTTTGGACCAGTCACACTTGACAAGATGACTAGACAAGAAGAAAGGCGGTAAAAAGTACAGACTTTTAATTGTAGTCAGGGAAAGGTTATTACAGTACTGTAGCTTCTAGACTAGTATAATCACTACAGCCTTTCAGTTAGGCTTATGGTAAGTAAGTTTTTTTTCAGTTGATGTTATTTTTTTTCCATAGTGTTTTCTGTTCAAAATTTGCAGTGCAGACTTTTAAAACTTTATGTAGCCCATCTGTGATACAGACACTCTTAACAAAAGTATAAATATTTTAGGTAATGCCACCTCAGTATTTTGAGAGATCTGCTGGGAACAGTGCTGTAGGTTCACCATTGACACCAAGACGAATAAACGAGGTTCGTGCTGAAAGTGGAGGACTAGGAAGAGGTGAGATTTTTTTTTTAAGCATAATGTACACTTCTTAGACCATGGCTTTAACTGTAAATCGTAGTGGTGCACAGTAAGGAAGCTGCTTTAATGTCAGCGGTATAGATAATTGCAAACACAGTTGTAAATGGTATTTCTGTTGCAACTCACATTAAGGCAGAGGTCCAAGACAGATACAGTCATTATTTCAGTGTGAACAAAATACTGTCATGGTTGGTAGGGTGTTTTCAGGAGGTTATGTATATTAGCAGTGTATATGTATGTATATATACACACAGCTTAAATAGTATTTATACACACACACACTACTTTACTTATGTTCTAATCAATTTGCTTTATTGTTATACCAGAATAGACACACCAACTATATATTTAATTATGTGAAGTCAAGTCTCAACCTTTTTCTCTGGAAAAATAAAACATAATACATTAACTTAGAAAAATATTAAAACAAACAGCATTCTTTGAGATTGTTTTTAGAGATAACAATCTGTAAGCCCCAACTGCAGGCCTAAGAAATTTTTAAAAATGTTTTCTTGAAGAGCTTTGACATACGACATACATGATATTTTGGTTCTCATTAGATTTCTGTCAAGTATTTGTATAATAAGCGATTATACAACGAGACTTAAATTATACGTGTGTTTTTAATCCGCAGGCCTTTCATCCTCTCCAACTACGCTGTACGACAGATACAGTTCTCCTACAGCCAATCCTACAAGGCGAAGACTGTTTGTTGATAACGATAATGTCTCTGACAGTGGAACTCCTGTAAGAGTTTCCCAACAGCCCGTGGTGAACACGGTGCCTGTGCAGAACGTGAATCCCGAAGCCATGTCAGTAACTCCGGTGCCTGGCCAGACCCTGGTTACAGTGGCAACTGCCACCGTAACAGCCAATAACGGGCAAACTGTTACGATACCAGTACAAGGTGAGAGAAAAAGCTACTGTACAGTGGTTCAGGCTTGTTCCCATCAGAGAATTAGTGCACAGTTAAGGGGGAACAGTAAGCCAGTGGAGAGAAAAAAAAAAAAATATGTTAAAGGATTCACAGTTGGGAAGAGTTGTATGAATAAATGAGCAGAATTTAGAGACAGAACATGTACAGCACAAGGATGTTCTGAGTGCCAACATCTATTTTACAATACTTAGTTCACTAAGCCTTCCTGAACTAGCATGGAATGAAAGTTGCGTTAGTATTAAAGACTTAGTTCAAGTTCATTGTCCTCTCATCATCTTATGATGAAAAGTCTAAAGTATTTTGATGAAACAATTTCATATATAATAAATATATTGCTATAGTTATAAAAAAACTAGTAAATGAATTGCTGACTACTTCTACAACATAAACACACGCAGCCCGTCACCACAACTGGCTCTTATTTCCGACTCTTTTTCTTAAATTGCAGGTATCGCCAATGAAAACGGCGGAATAACGTTCTTCCCCGTCCAGGTAAATGTGGGTGCCCAGGCTCAAGCCGTGTCTGGTGCCATCCAGCCTCTCAGTGCCCAGACCCTTGCTGGTACCCTGAACACCCCGATGGCGGGGGCAGCACTGCAGTTACCAGGCCCGTTAACTGTCCAGCAGATCTCTCCCGGAGAGCAGAGACAAGCCCAGCCGTTCACCACCGCCATGTCCGTCAGGCCTCGGAAGATGGGCTCACTTTCGCTCTTCTTTAGAAAGGTACTCTTCAGTCTAGTTTGTGCTTTCCTGAGGCTGGAGTTTGGTAAGTCTTCAGTGATTTTTTTTTTAAAAATAATGTACTTAGTAGTAGTAAGAGAATACTCAGTCTCAAAGTTAATCTATGCCCTTTGTCTGTTCATACACGTACCTGAAGAGTAGTTTTCTTATGCAGGCAACTTCTCACTAGCAAAGGAGCAGATTAAGCACGGCCACCACGAGTGGTGAAGTAGATTATGTATTTGGGCAGCAGGTGCTGAAAAGGTGTCCATTTTCTTTAAGGCTCTTTAAAAGAAAGAAATTTTCTGTTGAGACAGTCTGGTTTATTCAATACTGTGGTTTCTACGGGCTATGCAAGTGACCTTCCTGCACTCAAGACAACTCAGAATTTGAGCATCAAACCGATGTTTTCTTAGCATCAACACCAGTACTGACACTGTCCGTGTCCTGCAGACAAAAAAGTTAAATTTAGTTGTTGTTATTTTGGCTTATCATTTGCACAAGTTCTTCAGGGTGCACAAGTTTGAGCTGCCCTTTAGCCGGGTAAGGGAAGCAGTTGTGCTGGGCCCTGAGCACTGTCTCCACTTCAACAGGTGTATCATTTGGCTAGCGTGCGTCTGCGAGACCTCTGCATCAAACTTGACGTATCTGATGAGCTGCGGAAAAAGATCTGGACATGTTTTGAGTATTCCTTGGTGCACTGCCCTGAAGTCATGATGGACAGGCATCTGGATCAGCTGCTGATGTGTGCCATCTATGTAATGGCTAAGGTAAGGTGAATAAAGAAAAAAAAACCCACAAACACACACACTAAGATCTACGTTCCAAAGATTACAATTCCTCAAAAAAAACCCAAACACCACACACAACTACCCCCAAAGAAAGAAGAAAACCCACAGAAAAAGTATTAACCTTGTCTGTTCATTTACTCTTAGGTTACTAAGGAAGACAGATCATTTCAGAACATCATGCGCTGCTACCGGACACAACCACAAGCCAAGAGTCACGTAAGTGCAGTTAGTGTTAAACTATGTGGTATCTGGTTTATGAAATGCCTTAGTTCTATTTTAGGAATGGATTGCTATTTAAAGTTAACACGGTCTGTGCGCCATTCTCCTCAAGAGACAGCAGTCACATCCAAAACCCTGCACACTACTGAAAGCTTTTTATGCTAAACTGTACCTAAACCAGAAAAATCTCTCTTACCCAAAACCTAAGGAGGCGGTGCCTGTGGGTAATGCTCCTCTCAGGAGGCTGTGTTTTCTTCCCCTGCAAGAAACAATTTGCTACCAGAATCACTTTTCAAAAAAGCAGATGTATGGCGCAGACTACCGTGTCATGACTATGTCATTACAAACCTACCTGATCATCCTTCTGTGGTTACACTCCTCTTTCTCTGCAGGTATATCGGAGCGTCCTGATAAAGGGCAGGAGGCGCCGCCGCTGCTCTGGCAGCAGTGATGGCAGCAGCCAGCAGAACTCGCCTACAGACAGAAGCAAAGAGAGAAACAAAGAAAGAAGTGAGTGATTCCACATTCCAGATGTTTGGGTTTAGTTCCATTTCCAACACAGTCTGCATAAAGTAAGAGTTGGATTTTGTGTCGCTCCACCCCACACAGTTCCAACTCAGACACAATTAAGAATATAATGGTAACGTTTAATTTGGCATATTAACATTGCTATCACTCAAGGTTAATATGACACCCCCTTTGAATCTGTGACCACATGAGCTTACTTTAAGAGCTCGCCATGATGGCTGGCTGGAACTCTGAGTTCCTTTTGTACACCAAAAAATCATGTCTGGAGCATGAACGGCAATGGGTGCCAGTGCGTGGCACAGTTACTCTGTTCCTTACCGCAGCCCAGGAGCTCTGCAGCAGTTTCTTTAGCAGTAGGTGTCCGTCTTCAGAGACACGAACAAACCCGCAACAGCTGTTGCGCCGTATCCGACGTCGCGGAAGCTTCTTTCCTTGATACTTGAACTGACACATTTTCCTTGAATTAACCTTTGTAAAAGAAAGCAACTAAGTGATGCTGTATATTCCTACCATCAGTATTCAAGATATTTAATAGATGACAGTATAAACTGTAGGTACTAATGTTTTCTGTCACACAGAGGTGGCGGGGGGGGGGGGGTATTATAACTTTTTAA